TCTTCGGATATAGATACATGTAGGACCATGTTGTTAAAAAATTGCGTAGCAAATTGCGACGAAAGGGAGCGACGGATGGGCGCGAGAACGTGCATAATTTATCGATAGATTGTCTCTCGCGGATCCGCCTTGTACATAGCAGACATCGTTGAGTGGGTAGTGGCGCAGGGTAAGGTTGAGTCCGGCTGGGCGTTGGAGCGCAGGAGCAGAGAAACACGGCAGGACAAACGGACGTTCAGCGGCGCAAACGTGCCGACCTCCGCGAGCTCCGTACGTTCTTTGCCGAAGAGGCTTCCGCAGGGTATTCGCGCGAGCTTAGTGATTCATGAACCGACGTAGATCGAAGAGGCTCGACGAAAGTGAAACCGACGACGCCAGGTAAGCTGACCTTTTCGACGGGACCAGGCCGCGACGTCGTCCGACAAGCCCAAAAATAATCGTAGAATACACCGAAACGAAGAGCCACCTCGCCGCAGAGCTCTTCTTCGCGTCTGTCCATATTCGGTAATTGCTACTAGCGTGTCTGCAAAATCGTTATTATCTTCGGCGAGATAAGAGAGTTATTTTGACGAGGCACGTCGCTCCCTTTTTCGATGTAAAATTTTCGTCTTGATTGTTTGATCGGGTGTATGATCCGCGCACGGAAATCGCGTCTTCCGGACTTTCAAGGCGCACGATGTCTTTGACCGGATAATTAAACGCGGTATAGTTCAAGAGTTTCATTCGAGGATTTGAAAGCCGGACGACACGTTGAATAACATCAAGCGCGTTACTTTCCGGTTCGTAAATGAGGCTAAATGACACGGATGACCTCTTGCCCGCGCCCGAAAATTAATTGAGCTCGTGGGTGTTTTAGACCCTAAGTAGCCATGCATTAAAAGTGACGTAAGCTTATCGTGTGTACGAGCAGGAGATAGTGCATTGGAGTAACGCAAGCCGCTGTCACAGTCACTGTTCAATCGTGGTAATTATCAAACGCAGTCAATCTTGCCATCGAAGGAACATCGCTTGTGCAATTCGTAGATCTTGCTGCTCAGCAAATTGTTCCTAATTGACCGCTCTACACGAGGATACAAATTAATAGTTCAATCACATATCGTAGCAGTAGCCGTCGTAGACATGTTACGCACGTAGAATATTTATCGCATTAAGCAACTACACGCGTACAGTAGTATACTGTCGCTTTAGTCGATTACGGTAAAAGATTTTACTTCATTTTTATGTAAATTAAGCGGCACGATAAAATTGTATCTTAAAGTCGCTCAGAAACATAGAAATTTCCATAAAATTTTGGTGTAAGCAACTGACACGTTTTTTCTTGTCACTTAATATTCGGAAACGTAACTGCTGTGGAAACTCCCAGTGATGCAACGAAAGTTTCCAGAAAATAAGGGAAGGGTAGGAGACACACGGCGCTGAGAGTTCTTAATTATAAAACCAACTGAAATATTTTTTGTTACAATAAAGCTTTAAAACACTCGATACTCCCGAATAATAACAGTTGCAGTAATTATTAAAATCAAAATGGAAATAATAATGACTAATAAAGAATACAGATCGCAATAAACACACTGATTAGATGAAATAATAATAGGAAGCGGTATTGTTCATGTTGAAACACATGCGTTAATTAAAATGCAGAATAATTAAGAGCCTGTATGACACTTTATGTATAAGAAGCGTAAAGTAGCCCTCTCGTTTCTCCGCCAAAAAGCCTGCTCGATAAAAGCGTCTTAAACTATTACGGAGGCACTGCTGAAGGGCTGTACCAGGTGCGTCTACGAGCGGAATTTTATTTCGAAAGCCGATCGCATCACATTGATTATCGACCAGTACCAGTCTCTCCGTTGGCACTCGAACCTTATTCAATCCGGCACTTCTTTCGTGACTTAGACGGCACGCACGCGTATCGTTACTATCGCCACCTCAAGATCGCGGCCATCTGTTTTTTATTTTTTTGGATCGAGGAATAAATCGTATCGCGCTTTCTCATGGCCGTCGAAACGGAAGCGCGATGTCTCTGGCTTTCCCAGGAACGATTACTCACGAAAGATCTTAATCGACCTGAGTTTCATGTTACTGCATTCGTTTTATGTCACTTGAACGTCGTAATTTTTTGCCGGTTTACTGCTTACAAATATCCGAGAAACAATATTTCAAACGTGACATATCGTCGTGGCGAATGTGGCGATTCTTACCGGAATTTTAAACTTTAACGTACGTTTTTCTATCCATACGAATCTCGTTGGCGAAAAGCTCGTAAGTCAGGTAAATGGGTTAACATCCAGGAAGCGTTGCATTTTATCGATAAACCAACGCACGTGACAATTGCAGGCCTGCCGCAGGTGATTCAAAGATGTTGCTGCGCGATAAAAACCCACGTCGCGATAAACTATACTATACCCTTGTGAAGCACTATCGAGCCGTTATCTGTCGTTACCCCCTCAACATGTACTTTTATTTTCGCCAAAGTATCGCTCGTAAATTTCAACGATCCGTACAATGAGTCTCAATTTTCAAAACTTTCCTACGGGCGAGGTACGAATTTATGCGACTTTTTATTCCACGTTGCTGGAACATATCTTTGTCTTAATCAAATCTAACAGCGCCGGTTGTACTATGCAATGTTCCACAATAAGTGAGCGCAAAAAGCTATAATTAATTGAGCCATCCCCGAGCGTATGATTCAGCGTAAAAATGACTCAACGTGAAACGCGAGCATAACGTGTAATTTATTACGCAAAATGTGTCATATTTTTATTTCAGCGTAACCCAAATTCTATATTTTCTTTCTTTCCTTTCACACTCGTCTCACAATACTGCGAGCACTATTTATAGAACATCGATCAACATTACGTGTTACGATGGCGTTGCGATAACGAAGAATAATTTTTCTCATCGTTAGTAGCAATTAGTCGAATGAGTTCCGATCGCGTACAGCAGCGATGACATCGAAAGTGCACTTACAGGGGAGTGACGTGAGCGAGGTTTTACGAGCTTCTTCTTTTTCTTCCTTTTTTTTGTCGCTGCGCCAGGAAGACTCGGTAGGAAAATTGCATTGTATTACTTGCCATTCGATGACCCGAATGTAGGTCTCCTCGCAGAATTACCAGGCATTGCGTGAGCTCGGGGGTATCGATCGCGTGCAATCGACAAAAAATCAAAATTAGCGCATGCATGTCTCACGCGCGAAACGTCCTCCTTCGCGAAGAAAAAAAAAGAGAATGGTATATACCGCTGACAATAACAGAGCTGCTTCGTGTCTAGCATTTCGGGATTAACCGAATTGATCTCTTTCGTATTACACGTGGCAATAAAATTATGTTACTTGAAATTAATTTGAGTAATGAATAGCAAGATAAATAGACTTTAATTTTCTTAAAATCAATTAGAAGTAAATTAATCGAGACGCTGCGAGCGTTATTGTAAGTCATTAAATGCATTAAAAAGATATCGTAATTTTTCCTCTTTAGTTATAAATTCATTTTTGTTATATTTTTACTTGATTAATATTTGCTAACTTTTATAGCTTAATTAATTGTGTCTAATAAAATTATTATAGTCACAGATTATATATCGATAAAACCGATGTGTCATCAATTAATTTAACGACTAACTGCGCAACAGTGCCGAGACTCAACCTTCCACCTTTGATGGAATATCCTATTTTCCTGAACTTTGGTTTTAATAGGAAGGTTGTGCTACCTCGCATTACCTCGTATCGCATCCATGATCGTTCCTTTAATTAAAAGCCGGTCGAAGTTTCGCATCGCGCTAAAATCGAGGCCGATTTGGTCAATCGAGCTTCGACGAGCTTCATCTTCTCCCTTCACGGGGACGACGGGGAGTCCACTACTCTTGTTTAAACGCGTCAACTTAGTCATATTATATGACGCATCCATGTGTGCACACGTGAACGACGGAGTCGAACACGCTCACCGGGTCGGATCAATAACTCTAGGAATGGGCACTTGCCGGCTGGCAAAGCTGCTCTGTACGGAGCAGCCCCTGTTTCTGGTCTTCCTGTCGGAAATGAAAGCGGAAGTGGCCGACGTAGCTTAGGAATTCCACCCGGACGTATTCTCGCGACACCTCTCACGTAAATCCACAAACTTGAAAAAGGAACGGTCGCATCTTCTTCAAGAAATAGATTGAATTTTACTTTTACTCAGAAAAATGGGTCTATCAGACGAATATATCTTTACGTAAAATTTTGCAACTTTGACGACTCGTATGCATCGTGCAGTATTGTTCTCCATTTTGGAGACCTTTGATTATATCTTAACAAGAATGTATGTATTATATTAAAATTAAAATTACTAAAATAAATTAAAATAATTATTATTTTTCATCTTTTTGCTCACCGATTTTTATGTTTTTTAACTTAATATATCACACTAAAGATGGTCTGATAATAGAAACATGAGTAAAGTATTATTTTAATTAAATATTACGACACACGAACACTGTTGTGGTTTTATGCTCCCTTTTTTATTTGTTAAAATGATTAGATGAAAATCATATTTATTAGAATGTTTTTATTACTACATGTATATATATTTTAGCAAGTATTGTTATACATATAACAAGAACATATATTTGATGAAACGTATGTATTGAAGTGATCTGATGATATGCCCACCAATCTGAATTTTTAGAATATGCAGTAATCACGATTGCCGGTCATAATCACCGGCAGTAATCACGATTGTCGTAAAGCATAGGTACACGATCTGACAGAATGAATTGCTTTCGCTGGTGCAGTTATTTCTAACGATCCGGTATATCGGCCACGTGTTTGCTGTGATAGAGTTTCCGTGAAGTTCCCACCGTGTGTTATAGATTCCTCTATCCCAATAATATAGTAAGAAGAAATGAAAATATATTGGACGGAAATATTTTTTTGGAAACCGCCGTACTTTTTGAAAGAAAGTTTGGAAGAAGGGCAAAAAAGAGTCTATGTATGATATAAATATATATATATTAAGAATAATATTGAAATGTCTAGATGATTTTCGCACAAGGTTAAATGTAGATAAAATCTCACGCGATACACGTAATTTATGTTATACTGCCTTCTACTAAATGTGATTTTATTGGACACTCAGGCCCGATTATACTTTATGCGTGCGAAATATTATATTTAAGGTTTATTTCGTGTCTCCGACTGGCTTAATTACTCGCAGCTACGGTGACGTGATCAACCCACAGGTAATTTGATCCACCTCTAAAGTCGCATGCCGTAAATTGAAAGTGAAATTCATAGCCGCCGCGTTTCGCGAAAGCTTTTATCTCGGTCAACAAATTACTCCTCCCTAGAAAATCATTTTTAATGGAGTTTATTTCCAGAATCTGACGACACTTTCGGATCTGCGTTCTTTTAAGTTGATATCCATGTATATGTATATTGATTAAAATAAATTTTCCTGTTTGCGCGACGGAAGATTATTATATTTTCAAACTGATACGTAATCTATGGTAAATATCACGAAGTAACGTTCCACATATATGGAACGAAGATGACAAAAACATTTGCTTCGAGAAAAAAGGTCAATGCCGAATCCGAATGCAAACTCGTGGCTGACGTTGTACAATAATGTCACAGCATAATGATTAATGGAGCGATGAGACCAAGAGAAACGACACGTAGAACGATATATAAATTGCAACGATACATAAAATACGAAAGAACGAATAGGATCGATTTCGATTTGGCGATTGCAAAAGGGTAATTGTTAGGCCCGTTCAAGGGGAACGTTGCTCCTTTAGTTATCGTTTCTGAACACGGGACTTCTCGTCTCGCTGAGTAATTTCACGATGTTGCTCGCCAAGGTTAATCGACGTCGATCTACAGCAATACACGATCTGTTTTGCCGTTTCGCGCCAGTTATGGTCGCTCGCGTGTCTTCCTCCGTTTATGTTCAACTCTCACAACCACTTTTACCTTCCGCTCCTTAAAGTCTACGCCGGTCGAAATCACGCTTGATCGTACGCAGTTAGTTGTGATGTATCGTACGTACGAAGGCTTGTACTCAACGTCTGACAATTGGCCGTTCGTTCCTAATGTAAGAATAAATTGATGGGATTTTTTAGGCAGAACGTATTTTTACTCCGGCATTCTCGAGAGTGTCGCGTAGCTAACGATATTTTAATATAATTCTGAATTTCTAAATAGAAAACTGATTTGATTTTATAAACGTTATCGAATATCTCGCGAAAATCTAGTTTGAGTAGTTTTTTCGTTCATAAAAATTTAAGAAAAAAAATACTTTTTTTTGCAATAAACAGGAACAGGGGAAATACTTTTTAATTTCCATTTAAGATAACTTCAAACGCATTGTTTGATATACATTCTGTTTTTAATATCGTTGAACTGAAGTAACTAATTGATCACGCACACTTCTGTTTATTCACCGATAGAGTATCCGCACTTGTAAAAACACCGTTGGTAATTGCTGTCGGTTTGATTGCTGTAATCTCGTCGTCGTCGGCACGTAATATCTGTGGCACGTAGAGAACAGGTGGTACTTTGTAATTGTAGGCTATCGTCGTTGCACGCATTGTAAGATATTTATATCGAAGTAGACACATATATACAACTGTCGAATACCTATATCATATTTCGGTTATGAATTATTCATAATATTTAAATGTCCGAGACTTTCCAAATATTCTGATGTGAGAATAAATTATGTGCCTCACGTATCACAAAGTTTATCTAAAATAATGAATTGATAAAATCTAAATATTACAAAATCTAAATAATACAATAGTAGAATATATTATACAATTTTTCTCTGTTGGTTTCTTCACCGGTAAATTTTATATTAATTATTAATTTATCATTGCAATCAACATTTATTAAGTTTCCTGTGTTGATAGAAGATTAGACTTTTTGTTAAATAGCAAACAACAATAAACATTGTACGCCAATAATTTTGTATTATAAAATAACGTAATATAAATTTCTTAGGTTGGCTGAGATCTGACCTAGTTTATTAATTAAAATTTTTTCCTTTCGCGTTTTTCTCACGTTCGGCGCAAAATTTAATACTGAAACAACTTTTCATTAGCTCGCTTTTGGTACAAAGTGTATTTTCTTCTGGCACATCTCCGATGTTTTCTTCGCTTTTATCACGTGCATACGTCGTGCACACGTAAGGCAGTGTCTCTAGTAGTAACGAGACAAGGGTAGTCTTCGTCCGACACGACACGCTGCGACATTTATTCACTACGTAGCGTACATTGATGTCGATCGCTTGGCTCGTGAACCTTCATGAAGACTCGCTGGTCACATGTTTACGCAACAGGTTTACGGGGGAACGTATTGTCCGAGGCGAGGTTGAGGTATACCCCATAAGAGTACGTGAAAGAAATTGATATGGACTCGCAGGAAACCGCGAACAGCGTGGCCGAACCTGCTTCGGGCCACGGAGAAACTATGGTAAGCAGCATAGGACGAGGAGTTTACGTAGATCGAAACACATTCAACCATCATTAAACAAAGAATCCATGACGATGACAGAGATCATATCTTTATTATATAAATTCTACATCTATTGTACGCTATTTAATTAATTCTAACAAATTAATAAGTTTCGCCATAAAAAATTCGTGTCATAAAAATTATGAATTTTTCTGGAAGAATAATGAGAATTTTGCCCGCAAACATAACGTCGCTCGTGGCGCATCCCTCGAAGCGAATGGATCGCGGTGGAAGCCAAGTCGTTCGTGGCTCGATCCCATAATGAGCCAAAAGTAAAACGGTGGCAGGCACGGTGGAAACGGCACGGCGAGACGTCACCGACCCGCATTATCAAAAGATCGATAAACTCAGGGCCACTATTTTCACGAATTTCGACTCCCGGTTAGAGACTGTAGCTCTCTCGCGGTTTCTACGTTGTTATCGTAGTACGTTTATACATTTTATTGTCGTGCGGATTAGCCGGCAACATGAAATGTCGCGTTAGAAACTAACGAAATTGAATTGTGAAAATACTGATGACGATGGTAAACAATTGCTAGCACGCGGCGCGGCGCCAGCAAAACGCGCCATTCGAAATTCCATAACGAGAAAGTCAACGGTGGTTCTGCGTCGGAAGTTAACGGCTGTAGGATAATGCAGAAAATTGAGTCTGCGCTCGCAATTTGAATCGCAGCATGATGAAAAGATCGATGGGACTTGGGTCAAGGTTAATACTGTCGATCACAATTTGTGCGCCTCGTTGCACCAATAGTCTTCGGTTTCGTTTCTTCATGTGCCAATGTCGAGATTAGGAATCGTATTGTAATCGCGTCGCGAACGTTTTCCTTGCCAAATCATTAATTTCAGGTCTGACACGTCGAATTAAAATATCATAATTCATTTAAATTCGTCTAATAAAAAGAAGATAAAATCAACGTTTAAACGAAGGAAACTTGGAATAAATTGAATATATTCGTTCTGACCGCTTTCAAGTAGAGATCGGAATTCAGATCGCTGAGTTCAGATTTCGACATCAGAAACGCACGAATATAATCTCCATATTTGTTCGCGACAAATAAAAACGTGACTATTAATTTAAGCTGATGATAATTATATCTATAGCCTTAAAAAGTGATTTCACCAGATTATGACATCTCCAATTCCCTGCGTTTTAATCAAATTATGACGCACCGCAGTCATAAAAATGATGTATTTGGCTAAGGCAAACAGCCCGACATATCATTAAACTTGCAAATATGAAATATTCGACACCTTTTCAAATAAAAGGACATAAACAGCTTATGATGTAATACGAATGTACCAAGCTATTTCCAAGTTTATCTGTTCTCTGTCAAACTGATTTATCATAGCAGACTCATCGACGAATACACATATTTCCGCACGGATGTACGCGACACATGCTATTTTTCCGCAGGTGAAGCCAAACGTTCCTTTACCACCGCAAGGATTTCAGGCGCGACCGCAAGGTCCCGCTCCGTCTCCTAGAAATTCGATAAATAATGGTCCCATAGGCGCACCTCGACCGGGACCACCATTACGGCGATTGGACAGCCGTTCCTCTCTAGGTCCACCGCCGGCCTCGGGTCAGTTTGTGCAGCTTAGACCTTACGGTCCACCAAGACCACCGGGGGGCTCATTCCCTCCAAGGTCGCCTCAACCCGGCCAGCCTCTGCCTCCGCAGAATCCGCTACTACCCCCGAATCAACGTTTCGTGTATTCTCCGGGGATTCGAGGTCCCCCGCCGCAAGGAGCGGGAGGTCAACGACCACCCTTCGTCGTTAACCAACAGGCGTATCAGGCGCAGCAACAGCACCAGCAGCAGCAACAACAGCAGCGAGGTGGCAACGATCCGCGATTTCAGCGACCGGACGTAGCGTCTCCTCAAAACGAACTGCGACGACCCAGCCAAGAATCCGTTTTCCCGCGACCGTTACTGAGAAATGACTCGTTGGTGAGCCTACAGCGGCAGCATCTTTTGTCGAACGAGGAGATCAAGCAACCGACACGACCGCGCATTGTTATTGAGAAAATGGCGGACATCAATGAGACCCCCGGCGCGGGTCTTGATAAACCGGAGGGTTATCTGCAGCGAAAGAAGTCCGATGTTCGCGAGAACGGCGAGAATGACGACGACGACGACGTCGTGGTGGATAACAATAAGTCGCCGCGACACATTGGCGACGGAGCTCCCGAGGGACTGGTGAACGGCTCCAAGTCGCCTTCAACCCCGAGGAGAGTCGATGACGCTAGTAGACCTACAAGCCGACCGGGGACGGCTACTATCGAGGATAAGATCGAAAAAATGGACGATAAGCGAGACATCCCCTCAAGACCAATTTCTGCTAACATCGATGATACGGCGACGCTCATTTCTCAGAGCAGACTATCCTCCGCAGTAAATAAAGAGCAAAAAAAAGAGGAACAACCCAACAGCCCGTATAATACCGAGAACGTTGAACAGAGCTTGAAGACTCCTTCGAAATCTTCGGACAATTCGCGATCAGCCACTCCATCTCATCTGGATACACCTCAGAACGCGGAACAGGATCGAAATCCGGATAAATCGCGTTCCAACACTCCGGCCCGACTGGAGCCGCCTGGACACGCGGAACGAGAATTGAAGTCTCCGGTCAAGACTCCGGATAAGTCGCGTTCGGGTACCCCAGCCGGTCTGGAATCCTCCGGAAATGCGGAACAGGAAACGAGAACGCCGGAGTCGAAGACGCCGGATAAATCGCGCGCGAGTACCCCGGCTTCGCAGTTGGCGCCGTCCCCGAATACGGAGAGAGAGCCGGGAACCGCGGCAAGAACGCCCAGCAAGTCACCTCGAGCTGGGACAGAATCGAGCGACAACGAGATCTCCGCTGAGCCGGATAAACCCTCCGAGAATCCGCATCGCGACAAATCCGAGGACACTCTGCGAGTGAAGAAAGAGTCCAGTAGGCCAGCGTCATCGTTAAGCTTGACGAGCGAGAAAGGCGGCAAATCACCGAAATCCCCGAGGTCGCCCACGACACCGGGGCACAGAGACAAACCGTCAGAGTTGATTTCACCGAGATCGCCCGAGGGTGTAAAGGGTTACGATAACGGACAGCAGAGAACGCTGTCTTCCAGTCATAGTCCTCGATTACCGAAATCACCCGTCGACAGCGGGAAACAGACAGAGGACGGGAAGAAGAAAACGTCCTTCGTCGAGGACTCGGTTGAAAAAGCGATGGGAATGGCGAACAAGACATCGACAGCGTTGTCGAAACCCACCTCTCTAACAACTAAAACTCCACGCACGAAAGCAGACAAGGAGAAGGCTGAGAAGAGAGCTGCGGAGAAAAAAGGTCGTTGCGCGCTAGCGCGCAAATTGAATAAAACAAAACGGAGATCCCGGATTCGTTTGCTTCGCGGATATTAATTTGTTTGCATTCGCACACTTTTTAAAGATTCAGAGAGAAGCTATTTTCACCCCTCCAGTCTCTCATCGGAAATTCGATGTTATGAGATAAATATAAAACTAATTTCGTAAAGAAGGAAGTTCTATTTCTGTTATGACCTGTCTAGACCAGAGGATGATCCCACTTGTGGCTTATCCTAGTGAGTAGTGTACACTACTCACTAGGAGTACATTTTGTTTCACGCGCGATATGCATAATGCATCATTTATCCTTGTTGTTTACCGAATGTTAAACATGGATAAGTGATGCAGGATCATCCTCTGGTCATAGGCATTACAGAATATTCAAAATTTATGTAAAATAAATCGATGAGTTTAAAAAAATTGAACTACTCCGATATTTTCGAGACTCTTGAGACTTTGCTTCGGTGCGGCACGCGATTTTTATATATGCATGTATATCTTTTACTGATCATTATGATATAATAATATATTGTTTTTTTTTCTCACAGCGTTCCAAAACGGTAGAGGAAGGGAATCGCAAGTTAGCGGGGTAAATACCTTAATTTACATCTATCCTTTTATATCTCTCTTTTCTTTCTATTTTTATATACGTTGTATCAGAAATATTTCTTTCCGATAAATTGAAATTGTTCTGAATAGGCGGCGAGTACGAATGGAGATGCGGAATCGCCAACTAAAATGTCTAAGGACGCCGACAAAAGATCGAACGCCGGATCGCCTACGAAATCCGCTAAATCATTACCGCGAACTCCCGACACACCTTCGTCGACCGCTCAAGAGAAAAAAAGTAAGTATTTCTTGTTCCGTATTAGCATTAGTTAGTTAGATCTCTATTTTGCGTAGGGAAAAAAAATCTAACATACGCCATCAGCGCTAAAGTATTTGGTTACTATATCCTTAACGTTGGTCCTTTCGTTTCATATAAATAAAATTGCGTCTCTTTTACATCGCTGAGAAATCGGACTGAATGCCATAGAAAGAATTAGAGTAAGAACAATGTTTAAAAAGTCATATTACATTAACGTAACGTGCGTCCAAACGATCTTGTCTTTTAATCCCGCAGAGCTGCCGATGAATAAAGTTCAAGTCGGCGCTGCGCCCTCCCCGAACCTGAAGACTGTACGATCGAAGATCGGCTCCCTAGACAACGCGAGTTACAAGCCGGGCGGCGGTAAAGTGAAAATTGAGAACAGGAAGCTCGACTTCGGCAGCAAAGCGCAACCGAAGATCGCCGCGAAGAACGAGAAATACGCGCCCAGCGGTGGCGACAAAAAGGTTGATCCCTTTCGACCCCGGTATTGAATTAATCATCCTATTGCCGATACAAAAACAAAATTATTCCCGCGTTTCTTAGAAAATATCTCTGTTTTTCTCTCCCATCAGATATAAAAAAATATCATCAAAAAAGATCAAGAAGCAAGTGCATGTCAAGCATTGTTATAAATATCATCAAATTTCAATCACAGATCTCCCAAGTGAAACTTCAATGGAATGCCAAGCCCAAAGTGGGCTCCTTGGATAACGCAACTTACAAACCGGGCGGTGGTGACAAGAAGATCGAAACGGTAAAACTCGACTTCAAAGACAAGGCGAAGCCAAAAGTCGGATCCAAAGACAACGCGAAGCACGTTCCCGGTGGCGGCACTGTCAAGGTGAAATTCGTTAAAGTACTACGTATCTGCAACTTGTAGTTCAAAATCGATTTTTACTATAAGCCAGTTACATACATTTTTCTAGTTAATCTAGTTTATTAATCAATGTTGTTACTTTTCTGATCCATTCCTGCATACAAGCAGACATTGAATGAGATTCTTGGCTAATCGAAATCCTTAGTTCAAATATAAAATATTGTTTTCAATTCTAACGACGCTTTGATTAATATTAGCACGGTCATGTCATTCTCTGCCTCGAGCAATTAACTCCGAAAGAAATTATTAACAATCTGTTGCATGCATTTATATGTATGCGTTTACAATCACATTTGTATCATTAGTACTTTACCTTTGACGTTTAATAATTAACTAAACGAAGGCGAACGATAAAGCTATGTGTTAACTGTTATAGAAACTACGTAAGTTCTCCTCTTCACACAAATATTATTTCTTCACGATTCACGGATGGCTGATTCGGTGACAGAAGCTTAATTGGCGTAGAATCCATTACAAATGCAATGTGCTCGCTTCGTTCATTTTATGTCACAAAAATATCCGAGATAATTACCCAGTAATGCGCTAGTCCAAATTTCATTGCATGCGGAATGCTGGCATAGATAGTAAAATATATATATACATACATACATCCATTATACATATATTCCGAACGAAGTTATTAGTTTTGAAAGACGAATGATGATCCAGCAAGGGAACAGCTATATGTATTTTGACCGTTTTAAATCAGAATCAATAATTTCAAGTTGTATGTACATGACTTTGCAGATCAACCGTTCAACTTGGAATTATTAATTCTTCTTTACAATAGTCCGACATTTCTAGCGAAGAGGAACGTTTGTTGGTCCGACGAGCGCGGCATCGTTAATTTCGTTAAAACCCGAATCGAAAAACACTTGTCATTGGAAGCCGCAAAACCCAATTGTGCAGCTAATTCGTACACGCATGTGTTGTCTATTGTCATTATTAACAAGCCATTGTTATTTCTTGATGTTCAGTCGGCAACTCCGCCAAAGACACCGCAGGAAACGAAGAACGACGTAAGTATATCATACAGCTAACGAAATAGCGTGCAAATTAGGTGTGTCACGTGTCGCTTTCTCTCTATCTTCCTCACTCCGCTCTTTATCCATTTTGGACGTCTTCGTCGTCTGATCGTGACATCATGATTGAAATTAATTTCTCGTACTTCGTCAAAATCGTGGAGGTAAAATAAGTAAAGCGAAATTAGTAAAACGAGCGTGTACGACCGCACACATCGCCTAACATCGATATTTCCGCACTGGAAATCGCTATTTATAATCAGCGTGATAGATTAACCAGTTTACCTTCACGATTTACGAGATACGAAAATGTGCTTATCATCACTTTGCAATAAAGTGGTAAAGTTCTATCTATATCGCCGGATATAGACGTGAGTAAGTAAAATGTATGTTGGATGGAAGATATAAGCATGTGTTTCTGCATGTTTCCAAATTTATTTAGACTCTTGATCAATTCTACTGCTAAATCTAATTTTATTGACAAGCAAATATTGTAATAAATATATTCTATTATCGTCTATTCGATTACGTGAGAGAAACAGAGAAAAAAATTCTATTTTTAGCTTTTTATTCTTTCTTTCCTCTAGCCGCTTATCAAATGGGATTTTATTGTCAAATAAATAATGCGGTTCGTCGTTTATTTTCCTAGATCCCGACGCAAAAAATAGATATCAAGGCCGAGAGCAAAATCGGTTCGTTGGACAACGTGAAGCACAAGCCGGGCGGTGGCGACAAAAAGATTTTCAACGACAGGGATTACCTTCGGCAGACGAGTTCCAACGTTGAGAGCTTGAACGGCAGCGGGTCCCAGGTATGATGTCTCTTCGTAAAAGTCTTGAGAATAATCCCGTCATGGGAACTTCGTTGCTTCTCCTTTGAGAACTTTTACACGACAGAATCTCTGGCGTGTTCTTTCGCAGAAGAACTTGTCGCGATGACGAAAAGTTCCAGTCCAGTAACTTTACTTCTCGAGATTTTTCTCAATCTAATATCTGCACCCACGTGCTTGAACACGCGTCGCACGCGTATTCGTAATGCCATACACAGCACATTCAAACATTGATCCGCATAGATAAATTATTATCAAAAATTAAATATATATATACCGATGAAGTAACCCTCGAAATATCGTGTTGGCCAACTTAGAAATTTATTTAAAAAGTTCTTTGATAAAATTAATCTCCGAATTTTATAGACATAAAAAAATCATTTATTTGTCAAATGTCATAATATTTCATAATATTTCTGACCGCGAAATATTATAAAACGGCCTCTTTGAACTTAGGGGAAATTCTTTCTTTAAAAAATTTAGCGGGACATAATAATATTTTTTGTTGACTATATTGATTTTCTGCTTTGTCCGAATCCGTTTTTATATAAAATGATGCTTTCTTCTACTTTTTTACTTCATCTCTTTTCTACTTTTCATATCATGTTCTGCTGGTTGTTACCTGCGCCTATCGTAATTACGCAATTGCGGTCTCCATATCGCAGATATTAAGGGTTATTACCCCTGCGCCGTAATTATTACGATTAAACTTAACGATTAATCAGAATAAGCCGCATGAGATGGGAAAATTTTTTGAAACGCTGTCTGAATTATTAAAATAACGTTTGATGGCAATATTGGTGGAACGCTAGCCTGTCGCACAGCCTATGAAAGGGTTAATGCGCATTAAAAGATGGACATTTATTTACTTTACTCATTTGTCAGTCGATTTATTCAGTTCAGCAAGGATGCTACAGGCTTAATCCTGATATCGTGTCTTGTGCCCGCAGAGCCCCGTGCCCTCCGGCGCGATCACCGATGGCAAGAACGGCCTGCCAGCCTCGGACGAGAACCTGAACCAGGAATGCTAGGTCACGAAAAGTCGGCCGATAGACCCGCTTTAATTATCTCATTTGCATGTGATTAATCACGTTTTATCCATCTAACCCCCCTTTGGAGGACGAAACGAGCGCTGTCCTCGCGCGATCGAGAGAAACATCGAGGCGTATACGGCGCACGGAACTCCTCGAAAGAAAAAAGGAGGACCGCGATCGATATTTCGCATACGCAAGCGATGAAATTTGCGCGACGGGCCAATTAAATCGACGAGCGAGGCAATATAATACGTTCGCGTATTATTATCATGTTGATTTGTTATTAAGTACATACAAGGCGAGGTTTCCGGGCATCCCGTGTTCATAGCAATTTTAATTATCTTTAGAAAAATTAAGCAAATTATTATGCGTTGCGTGAAAACACTCTCTGACCGTAAAAATATATTTGCGCAACAGAATTAAACACGCAAATCATGTGGCATGCGAGAGAAGCAAAAGAACTGAGAAAAATATTTCATTTTTAATATATACAGACATAAAGAAGAAATGGATTTGAGAAATAACTTCCACGCGCATATAACACATGGAAGCTCTTTGTCTTTTTAAGCGACAGCTTCCTCTATTAAAGATTCCTGTCACGTTCGTCTTTGCGATTTTCTAAATCATTGTGTCGACGCGTTTCTCATGCGCCCTCGCTACGTAAATATTAATATTTGCGAACTATCGACTTTTGATACGCATTTATGCCATAATTGCCATGTATCACGACTGCAATTTAACTCTTTCATGCATAAATTTAATCTGTTCCAATATATCATAATAATCGCTTAAGAAAGTTAAGCTCAACAATGCGCGTGAAGATAAATTCTAGAAGATAAACGTGTCGACAGAGAATAGAACAAAATATATATAAATGTTTAAATTTTTCTTCAAATTCTTTATATTTACAATATTGCTAATTTAATTTCGCGAGTGTACAACTGTGTCTTATTTAATTTGTCGCTAGTGTCTTATTCGCTTTCGTATCTGTACGTAGAGAAGATTCTAATGAAAGTACAAAAAATCACATAAACCCGTGCGTCGTTATGAAACATGTGCAGAAAGAACCATCGCGTCCTCTCAGGGGGAATAGACGTTTGACAAACGCGCGTACATTAATTTCCGCCTGAGGAAGTCCTAACAGCCGACAATCCCTCGACATCGTGCGTGCGTTGCATTTCACCGGAATTACGGGGAACGTCATCTCGAATATAGTTAATTCGCGAACGACGATGCGTAGCTATCGTTCACGTGTTGCAATCTTCGACACATGGTGGAATTCTAACGATTTCTAAGGAGACGGAAGACTAGGCAGGCAGCAATCTCGATCGACACGGATGAATCGTAAGGGAGCCAAGCATTGCACCGGCGTCAATTAATCGTGGATAACTTTAGCTTTTTGCACCATATCTATCACTGTAGCCGCGGCCACGATACAGAAAGAGTCGCGAGGGATGAAAGGGTCGTTATATCTCAGAGCTTTATACGCAGTTATCCAGGATTAAGTTAGGTGCAACACGAGATCGCGAGGGACGAGAAGAAAAGTGCCAGAAGAGCCATGTAACGCGCGGGTGAATCGCGACACTTTCGCGCGAGGCACACCCGCCAGGTACATCGGGCTGATTAGAAAGATTGCGCTTAGATGACAGGACATACGAGATATTCGTGTAAACCTTATTGTAGATACGTAATCAATACACACACACATACACACACACATTGCATCCCATGAGTATATATTTAAAATACCGCTGGTGCGAAAAAACAGCATCGGGAGATGATCGGTGATGGCGTGTTCGTTCAACGGAAAGGAGGGATCGATGGTGGAGAATGCGTGCGACCACGCCAAAAATAAAAATCTCTCACTTGCGTCACTACACTACCTTAGGTACCTCGTGCAATTTACACATCACTAAAAAGAGAGAAAGCGAGAGATAAGGAGAAAGAAAGAGAGAGAGAGAGAGAGAGAGAGAGAGAGAGAGAGAGAGAGGGAGATATATAACACATTATTTACACTGTATTGCTTCCACATGGATTATTAAGAGATAATTTGATTCAATTAATGTACTGCGATATTTCACGGAGACAGAATTAACGTTTAGATCCTCGTAATTGTCACAAGTTACCACTTCGTACGAACGCAATAGTGTAACTACGCGCCCGCAGCGCGTTCTGCATTAGAATCGCTCTGGAGAGGCATTATAATAATATTTTTGTTTTTAAATTTATATTCGTTCTTTGTCT